AAAAATTTGATATGACTTATAACCATATATATATATCATGCATATATTATATGTATATAATAAAGCATGAAAGAGCTGTAAATATGAGATAAAAGCATGGAAGAGCTGTAAACATGAGATAAAAGATATTGTAACAACGTTTGATGAAAAATCATTTATATGATAGAAAACGTCAAAAATCGTGTTAAGTGTACATATATTGAGCTTAAATATAAACATACAATATATGTAAGTAAACTACTCTTATATCTAGGTAACTCCACACATATGAACTTGAATCTTTAACGCTTGATTGTCGTGTGTTGAAATACTTGTAAAGAGAAACATAAAAACAAAACTAGAGAATATATTAGCGATAAATTGTTTGACAAATCATCATCAAAACTATAGGGTCAACAATCTCCCTCTTTTTGATGATGGCAAACAATTTATATATTGATATGAAATATATACTGATAAACACTGATAAACCACATACAATATGAATTAAACATATAGACAATATATATCATGAATCAAACATATAAACCACATTGGATTTTCTCCCCCTTTGACAACATCAAAAAGGGAAAGAAAAAAAAGGTAAATATATATTGAATAGGAGCAATGCTCCCCCTGCATATAAGCACAGATAAAAAAACAAATATACAGCTAAAGCTCCCACTGTCAATTTGCATAGATGATATACAAAGATCATATTTATACATAGGAGCTAAGCAACCATATCCATCCAAGTACAACCATAAACAATATATAGACCAAATACTACATAGTTTTTCACAAACATAATTTGTTCCACAAAGCTACAAATCATACACAAATAGTTTCACAAAGTCATATAGTTTTCCACACAAACATAGAGTTATTACAACTCAAAATAAAACATAAGTAGCGAGTTTTGTTTCACCATAGTTTTCCACACAAACATAGAGTTATTACAACTCAAAATAAAACATAAGTAGCGAGTTTTGTTTCACCAATACATAACAATGAGCATGAAAACCAACACAACTCAAAATAAAACATAAGTAGCGAGTTTTGTTTCACCAATACATAACAATGAGCATGAAAACCAACAATAAAAGTCAATCACCACCAGAAGCAGGGCCAGAGCCAGAAGCAGATCCATCATCAGAGCCAGAATCAGATCCATCAGCAGGGCCCTCCTCAGAATCAGAACTGGAGGATGGATCCGGAATCCCAAGAGACTGACGCTGATAAGATAGAATAGTCCTAACGTCCCTCTGAATAGTTGAGACCTGAGTCTCGAGACGATGCAAAGGGGCACAGATATCAGAAGTGGAGGAGGTGGAGGAGTCAGAAAGTTGCATACGGGAGAGAGAGACTCTATCAAAGTATTCCTTACCCGGATCAACTTTGGGTTCATTGGAGAGAGCAACACCGAAGTATTGAAGAATGAGGGCGATGAAACTGCCAAAAGAAAGAAATTTATAATGCTTGCATGTCATGTTTTTAAGAAAAACATTTGCCCAATTCACTTTTATTTTGGCAAAAATAGCATAAGCAGCATTAACCTTGTCAGGAGCAAAATGATCAAAGCTACCGGGTTTAGGAATGAGATTATGAGCAACAATACGAGTTATGATTTTGGCGGTGGGATTGAGTGATTTGTTGTTCATAGGATAGGTGCAACCGAGCTTAAACATGATATCGTTCATAGCTTGATCAGTGTGTTCGATAGACATAAGCTCGACATCAGTTGACGGGATCTTAAGGATTCCCGCAAGTTCGTCGGCATTAAAAGAAATCTGGATGTTTTTAACAAATGTGGAGATGGTTTGGACACCATCAACAGTGAAAGTGACAGACAAATTCACATAAAACAAATATACCAGAAATGGATAATAAGGAACTTTACGTTCCACATCTAACAGTCTAGCCAACCCAACATCATGTAGAATCGTATGAATGTCATACATGGCTAATTGTTCGAATTTGATATATCTAGTGGGCAGGATTTTCAGTTTGCATAGCTCCCTATATTTCTTAACCTAAGGGGCTTATAACAGAAGATAATCCTCATAATGAGAGGCAATGGAAGAGAGGAACCAGATTCAGGTTTAGATCTTTCT